AATAATAGTAATCAGTTCACAACTATAAACAGTCCTGGTCAAGAGTGTACAAAAATAAGATTTAACTGACCGTTCAGAATACCAACCCTGCCTCTTGCCACTCTCTTCTCAGATGAGGAGGTGGAGCGCCTCTCCCTGTCCTCGGTGTCCTCCACTCTCCAGGCCTTCATGGAGGGCTCCACCCTGGGAGAGTTCCACACCCGTCTGACCATGCTGCTCAGCTTCCACTGCCACCTCCTTCTGGTCCCCAACCATCCTGGACAAGGTCAGCCATCATTACTCTGTCCTACACGAGACCTATACCACACAAGTCCGACTTAATACAGTATTCATATGTCCCACATACGAGTTATCAATCACCAGTTTCTTTCTATTAACTGATCACTGCATCATGACAGGGACCCTCATCTTTAATTTAAGTGGAGACCGAGTGCATATGTCATAATTTTATGATGTTTTTAAATTATCAGATCAAAATATATATTCAAAAAATATCTGAGAGTAACAGTCCTGCTCAGAGTCGATGTTGAATTTCCTCAAATAGTGACTGGGGCTGTTATTCACCTGAACTGCAGAGTGTAACACATCTGTACTTTGTATAAGAGAAAGGATTTGATGAGTGTAATTTATCATATTTTAGTATAAAGCTTTATTTTGATCCGCTCCTTTTGCCCTGTAAAATATTTTGTATCCGTTACTACAAACTCCTCACTTTCTCTAACCTTTTCAAATTAAAAGCTCTCTGTAGTTTCAGTAGATACAAAATACCTTTCATTTCTTAACAGAGCTTTTGTTGTGAAATGTTAGTAGATAAACCTTATGCAACAACAGCCAACAGGTTTAAAGCAAAGCAGCGCAGATGTTCACATATACCCTCAGTGACTGAAGTATTACTTAAGATGAATAATCCAGAAGAGCAAAGTGTTGTAAATGGCGTGTTAACTGCTTCCTGTTTCACAGAGTCTTTGGCCAGTCTGCTGTGGAACCTGCATAAATACTACGGTCAGTTCTCTGACTGCATCCAGACCAAAGTCAATCAACTCAGGCAGCCCATCGAGAAAGAGCTCAAGGTACATAAATGTTTATTAGTGTCCTCGTTCATGACCTACTGGTTATTTGACACCTTGTCCCTGCACGTCAGATTAATGCCTTTTTAAATATATCTTTGAATATATGGATATTAAGAAGTTCCACTGTCATTGTTGCTTTCAGGATTTTGTCAAGATCTCCAAGTGGAACGATGTCAGCTTCTGGTCCATCAAAGTGTCAGTGGATAAGACACACCGGTGAGATATAACAAAGATATTATCTGGATATAATCTGATTTACTTTCATACTTTCAAAATTCAAAATTAGTTCAAGGTTTTATGAACATATTTAGTCTTTGGATCCTCTTTGGAACATCCCACCTCTAGTGGGCGCTGGAACAGTAATATTTTCTTTAAATGTCCTGTAACTGTCCGCACATTATTTTCTAAATAATAATATGACATTGTCTCAGATCAGGTCAGTCAACATCCAACAGTCCACGTTTTATCTGCAAAACTGACATTTTGGTGAATATTTAAACTTCCACTTGCCCACTGATGTATTTCACTTCCCAGTCTAGTTTAAAGTGAAGGGATTAATCCCAGAGTTAAACTTGCTCTGTAAGTCTCTTTTCTCTCCATTCATTGATGTCCATTGCTGTTGACACTGCAAGTTGGACGTCTGCTTCATCAACACAGGCTGTTACATTCTGCTCATATTGTTTCCCGCAGGACCCTCTTCAAGTTTGTCAAGAAGTTTGAGGCGGCTCTGAGTGGTCCAAGTGTTCCTGCTCTGGTGGAACAGGGAAGCAGCGCAAACTTAGACAGTGTAGACACCAACCCTGAGGAGACACCCATCCATCGAGTTCACAAGGCTCTGAAGAGCAACCTGCCTGGGAAGGGCAGAGATCTGCAGGTACAAGTCTCAACAGGACACAGAGTTGTTTATCTCACTATCACAAATTAAAAAGCCACTGTTTTTATTTCATATTATTTAGTTTTGAATAAAAGACCAGAGATAAATTGTGTATTTCAGGATGAGGAGCCGGAGGAAGGAGTGGAAGCTTCATCTCTACAGGGACGTCTGCCTGTTCTTACCAGGAAGATGAAGAAAATATGTAACCAGTATGTGAAGAAAAACCCAGTACCTGAGCTGTCTGAAGACCTGGACACCTTCACAGGTAGAAACACACTCAGAAACAATAAACGTTTCACGTCAAAAAGAGGGGAATACAAGTGACTAGTCCTGCTGCTGAAAGGATGAAGACTTTGGATTGTAAAAGGATTTAATGGAGTTTTTGACCACTGGAGTTGCTGTGGAGCATTGTTTTGATGAGCACGTCTCAGCAGTCTTGATATTTTGTGCGCATATGTAGGAGAACGCAATGCACCAGGTAAACCGAATTGTAAGAGAACATAGTGTATGGGGACGGATATGTGTTCAAGATGTTGGAAATAAATGTAGACATGACTGTGATTACAAGACAGCTCCGCATGGTGCTCTCATGAATTTGTTGGTACAAGGTTTAGAGTGCAGCACAGGTTCATGTTTGCCAACCTGCAAAACTCCATTACCCACTATTATCTCCAAGTCAAATCTAGACCAGCTAACATATGACCAGCGACCTGACCCATCATCCATAATTAAACATGGATTAAACTCATATCTTAAACACACAGCCACTCACATCAAATGGGTTATGTCCTTCCCGTCCTGCAGCTCTCAATGTGTTTCCTCAGTGTAACATAATATGAATTTTTTTTTTCTCAGTGCAGGACTCTAGTACAAGGGGCCACAAGGAGGGTTTATAACTTTCAGACTTCTTATCTTTTTTCCAGGCGAGGTCATCAGCAACCTGCGAGACTTGCAAAGCCTCACCATCAACATGTCAGCAGAGAAGGAAAAACAGAAGTCTGAGGTCAAGCACATCCTTCAACAGAAGCAGAGGGCGCTGTCCGACCTGTTCAAGATGCTCTCAGATATCGGTGAGTTTCTCTCTCTGACGCATACATGTCACATAATATTCTGACTCAAAAGAAACACAACACAACCTGTCTGTCTGTGCCCTTTGTCCCAGGTCTCTCGTACCGTAAAGGCCTGATATGGAACAGGACAGCCGACCCAGAGAAAATGTTCTGTATGCAGCCGCTGGAGATGAGCACTGCTCTTTCTGCTGCCAGCAACCAGGGGCAGGCTGAGAACATGTAAATAGATCCTGTTCACACACACAGACACACACTGAGTAGTTAGAGCGGGTCGTCAACTAACCAGAAGGGTCAGTGGTTCAATCCCCAGTCGATCCCTATCTGAATCTTGAAGTGTGCACGATACTGAATCCAAAATGGCCCCGGGCTCTACTGACATTGTGTGAATGGTGTGTGATAGAAAAAGTACTGTGTATAGAAGCGCTGTATGAATGTGTGTGTGAATCTAACTTGTACTTTAAAGAGTGGTTGATGAGACTGGACAACCATCATATAAATATAGTCCATTTACCGTAATCCCTCAGTATCCAACCTTTAATTCAATTCTTAGTAACTTTTCAAAGGAAACAAGAAGCTCATCGTGGCTAATGTTCATATTAACAGACTGTAAATAGTTATTTACAGTTGTTAGCAATAAAAACTTGTTTCTGTTATATTTTCATACACATCATCATTTTTTGGTCGGGTATTATTAATCGTAGTTTTATTTCTTTATAAGTCCTCGTAAGTAGAGGACAGCTCTATACCGTGTACTCCCTCTAAACCAACTTCATTCTTGATGTTGCAGGTTGTTCACAGAGCTGTTGGCAGCGTGGGATGGATGTCAGAAGTACTTCTATCGTTCATGGGCCCGGAAAACGGTCATGCTGACTGCTCTTCAGCTGCCTGCAAAGGTAAGACACAGCGTACTCTTTGTATGATGATCTACATTTTAGTGTTGCTTGTGTGTTGTGTGTATTTATCCTGAAGTGTGTGTTACTGTTTGGTTGTAGGAGCTGGGTCTGGGAAACATTGAGCGCTGTAGAGGCTTCTCCTCTCACATGTTCAAGCTGCTCCTCAGACAGAGGCGACGTCTGGCCACGCTCACAGAGCAGTGGGTCCATCTCAGGTCAGTGAGCGGGCACGGGATCAGATTTCCTAAATGACTTTAACTTTACCTTAAACAACTGTTTATTTACCAACCTATTGTCTTGTTTGATCCTACCACCTCTAGGAGGCTGACTTTCAGCATACAGGACATTAAGACCCACCTCCAGAGCCACAGTAAGGACCAAGGCTGTACCATCCCGCCCCAGGCCTCTCTCCAGGGCTGGGTCAGCAGAGGCCAGGCGCTGGCTGCCCAGTGCACCACGCTCCTGCAGCAGCTGGCCTGGCTGCTACAGTGCTGCCCTGAGGACCTTCAGCAGGAAGAGGAGACCAGCAGCTGCAGGCAGCACACCCTGAGGTGCCCGTCCCCGCTGGCTGTGCACCGCCAGCCTCCCGGCTGTCTGATGAGGAGGGGAGATGCCACGTGGTGCCAGCTACACCAGCACGTGACCGAAATGTTGAGGCAGAGCGAAAGCCTGAAGGTGGAGCTGGACACTGTGGCCCAGCAGAACTCTGAGAGAGTGCTTCACACATGGTAAAACACAGTCGCACAAGGTTCTTTTTTTTTTTTTAATCTAATGTACAGTCCTGATAACGCTGCTATTTTTCCACAGGGACCATTTTGTAAGGTGCTGTTCAAGCTTTGACCAGCTGGGGGCTGTAGCGGCTCAGATGCCCAGCGTGGAGCGGCTCTTCATCCCGGCCACGTGCGTCGGGAGCGCAGAGGGTCAGCCGGCCATCACCCAGAGCCTGCAGTATGTCAGAGCACAGGTGGAGGCTAACATCACCGAGTTCACCACCTGGAAGACTCAGCTGCTCTCCCTGGGACACCAGCACCCAGGTGGGTTCCCTGACCAGTCACCCTGATGCGATCATTCCCTCAGGGGTCACTGACAGACACAGACTCACTCTCCTCCTCCCCTTGTTCAGATCACCAGTCTGCCTTCAGTACGGACTTCTCCGCTGAGCTGGAGACGAACATCAACGCGGTGCTGTGCGCTGTCCAGACACTTGTGAAGAGAAGGGAGAGAGAGCAACAAAAAGAGCAGCCTGGAGATGACCAGAGAGGTGAGGAGGATGCAGAGGATTCAGGCAGTGCTGACTGCAAAGTCAAAATCACAATAAACTAAACTAGACGCAGTCATCGAATATTAAACAAAATTGATTCTCTCTGCAATATACCCTATTACTTTATATCAGTAGGTATGTCAGTCTAGTAGAATGCTGTGTCTTCCTTGTCTTCTTTTGAACTCCAGAGCTGAACGGACTCATTTTTTTTAAGATGCTGGATAGATTCCATAATAATAAATGTCTTGTTGTGGATGTGTGAAAACACTGCAGCGGTAATAAGACCCAACTCTCAGCCTGATGTAAATTAATTAAGGATTAAATATTCAGGCATTTTTTTTTTTGGACATTTTGTTTTTTAGATTTCATTTTGAATCGATGAATTTAAGTCTACACTCAATAAAGTGGAATGACAAAGGGATAGTTCTCCACTATGCTGATAGGGGATATGAGGTGGGTGAAGTGTTTGAGTCCACAAAACACTTCAGGAGTCTCAGGGGTAAACAGCCTATGTTTGAAGAAAAGTTCGCCTTAACTGCAACGCAACGTTTACCCCTGAGACTCCAAAAGTGTTATGTGGACTCAATCACTTCACACACCCCTCCATCGGCATAGTGGTGAGTGGATTATAAGTGAATTTTCATTTTACGTTGAACTGAAGTCCACGCCTTTAATAGTATATAGTTTATATAGTATATCGGAAAACATGCAAAGCACCAAACCTTTCTTTGAAGCTGTCTTGATCATGTTTTTATAGTGCACTGGCAGCAGTTATGGTTGTCCTCAACTATACAATGTTATTCGATGTTTCAGACGGAGCTGAAAAGGAGGAGGAGGAGGAGGAGCCTGTGGAGGACCTGCTGAAGCCCGGTCACCTGGCCCGTCTCATGGAGGAGGAGCTAGAAGCAGAGGTGGAGACTCTGTGTGTGGGAGCCGCTAACGACAGACTGGAGAAGCTGCTCGGCACGCTGAGAGCCCACAGAGACGCCTGTCAACCACCACAGCTCCAGGTATAAACCACAGCTGCACATAGAATATCTGGAAAACAACTTATCCGGACCGCTGTAGTGACATTGTAGTCCTCTGATTAGTCGATTCTCTGACTCAAAGACGAGAGGATTTACTCATGTGTAGCATAAAATGACAATAACGTCTTTTCGAGACCGATAATGTTGACAATTGACACTACTCCAGATTGTTCTGCCATGTATTATACATTATGAGTATTGTTTAGCAATATCAGTATGCGTGTTGCTCTGTTTTTAATGTGTCTCTTGTGGCCATTGTGTTTGCGTGTTTGCAGGAGGTGAACAGGGCGTGCAGCATGTTGGTGCGTCTGGAGCCTCTGCTGGGGATTTACTCCGACCTGGTGCGATACTACCTGGCTGTGTCCATGGGAGCACACAGGAGCACAGGCAAACTGCTGTCTGTACTGGCCAGCATCTTCACCGAGCTCGCCCAGAAGGTAAAGACCCACTAAACCTTTCTCGGTTTAACTGTAAAATAGTTCTTAAATAAGTTGTGCAGGCATTATTAAGTGATTACATTCAGCTGAAAGCAGTGATTAAACTGTTTCTCCTCCTCCTTAGGGTTTCTGCCTGCCCCAGGAGCTGATGGCCGGTGGAGACGGAGAAGGTGCCACAGAGTTCCACGACTACGAGGGCGGTGGCATAGGAGAGGGAGAGGGCAACAAAGACGTCAGTGACAAGATTGAGAATGAAGAGCAGGTGATGAAAGGAATTTCTACGAATATTTTATATCACCCTTAACTAGCTTTATTCCTGAGCTCTCAGTTGCATGTGACAGCCTCAAAACTGTGGTTGTTCCAAACAATGAGATTTGAATGAACTTCCCTGGCTGCTGGAGAATGTGAAACAAATGTGACAAATTGTATTGTCCAAACAGAAAGCCTGAAAGCCAGTGGAAATCCAGCAAAATAACCTGAATCCTTAAAGACCTTGAATAAATCTTTTAGTAAGTCAAGTAACAGCTGAATCTCTAAAGATTTTTAGTGTGACGAACATTTCTCTTCTTCTTCTTCCAGGTGGAGGACACCTTTCAGGAGGGCCAGGAGAAGGAAGAACAACAGGATAAAGAGAATATCAAGGCTGAAGACAACGCTATTGAAATGTCAGAGGACTTTGATGGCCAGATGCATGATGGGGACGAGAATGAACCAGGTGATTTGGCCCACTCCTTTTTGTTTTTGTTCCATTTCTTGGTTTTGTCTGTAGTCCTTATTTTGTCTCGATCCTGATTCGTTCTCTCAGACTTCAGTTGACTTCAGTCAACCCGCTGCTGATTAAATGCACCATCTTTGGCAAAAAGTGAATCAAAAGCATTAATTAAGTCTCAGCTAATTAAGTTTGTTTTAAAGGCGCAGGTAGAATACAAAGGAAGGGCTTCTCTTAAACTTCTTACGTCCTTCCTACCGTTGGAGAATTCTTTGTTGCTGTGTAAGCTCAATAGGCTCAGAAGGCTTGTTTTTTATAAGATCACCAGGAATTAACCCCTAATTTATCATCTGGTGCTGGGGGACCAGAACCTAGAACCTTTCAGAAAGTAAAAACGGCTCTTCCAAGATCACTGCTGATAAGAACCTTCTTCCATTCATCATTCTCAGGTGAAGATGAAGACTCTGATAAAGAGGACCAGGAGGAGCTGGACAAAAAGATGGGGGACCTGGGTGAAGGCCAGACTGACACTCTGGATGAGAGGATGTGGGGTGATGATGAGGATGATGAGGAGGAAGAGGGAAGTGACCAGGAGGAAGAGTCTGGCCAGGGAATGGACCAGGTAATATAAAACACCATTTAGCATGCATCGTTAAAGTCTCCACTAAGTATTGCATTAGCTGTTTTTTAAATTTATCAAGATTAAAAAAACTGTGAGGTTTGATTGCTGGTGTGGCCTTATTTCCTGTCAACATTGGATTCTGTGTCAGGGTGAATCCGAGCTGGTTGCCAAAGATGACAACTTGGACGCTGCGGAGCCAAACAAAGACAAGAAAAACCAGGATAAAGAAGAACAGATGGATGAGGAGGCGAAAGAAAAGATCCACGAGCAAGGAGATGAGGTAATTCATTCATAGTTCATGGGTACTCCTCCCTGCATACACTGATCTCCTCTTATTTCTGTGGTTGTGCTGTATCTGATCTGCGCTGTTGCTGTTTTTCAGAGGGAGTTTGATGAGAATGAAGTGGATCCGTACCACGGTCAGCAGGACAAGAGACCTGAGCCTGAGCCCATGGATCTGCCCGAGGATCTCAATCTGGACCAGGATGAAGAGCCTGGAGACAATGGAGAGGGCGAGTGTGACGGTGAGACCTGCTGCTGAACTTAGAGATGCAGCTTTTTTTAACTTAGTGAATACGCAGTTGAACCAGGACAGTGATGTGAGAGGCGGCTGCGTGAATGGAGTGAAGCCGATTAACAAGCATTTCTATTTTGACAAAATGGCCAGTATTCAGAACTTCTGCACACCTTTCTTTGTTGTAGTTTGAATTTGAGCTTATATAACTCCCTGTAATGAAAGATAGAACATTTTTAACAATACAAGCTAAGAAATTATAATATTCTTTTTGGTTAAAATACAGTTTAAATACATTCAGTGTAATGTCTACAGGAAGTCATAGAAAAACACCAAAGCCTAGCCCTAATTTTTTTTCAACAATTTTTAAATCTAAACTTTAATTTTTAATTAAATTTGCATGGTGCCGAATTATAACACACATCTCAAGGCACTCAAAATAGTAAGGTTGAGACCATACAAAATTGAAGAGAACCCAACAGTTCCCACAACGAGCAATTACATTGGTAACAGTGGAAAGAAAAAACTCCTTAGAAAAGAGAGAGAGCTGGAACAGTTGTGTAACCGTCATATCAGGCTCTGTCAGACTGGTTGTTTTAATAAAAGTGCAATTTACAAATGAAATGACATTATCATTGATAGCAGCACCAGTTAATATAGTGATAATAATAGTTGTTGTTTACAAGTGTCAGATCTGGCAATTAGTTATTCCGTTAACTGTTTCAGCAACACATAACTTTGAGAAGTCAACAGAATAAAGACATGTTGCTATATAAAGAGGCTTCTTGTGGTAATTATACAGACACAGAACGTGTAAGAGTATCTGTGAAATACTTTACTATACCTTTAAGCTTCTGTCACAGTTTTTGTTAAGAGCTGAACGTGACCTGCATATTTTCCATCTTCAGAGGAGAATCCATTTGACATCGATGAAAAAGCCATGGACCTGGATGAGAAGGAGGATGGAGAGAAAGATGGAGGAGAGGAGGAAGGAGCCGAGGGGGTGCAGGAGGACCAGACAGACCTACCAGGAGAGGAGAACGAGCATGAGCCCAAGACTGAAGAGGAGGAGGGAGAAGGAGAGAAAACAGAATGTGATGAGCAGTCTGCTGAGCAAGATGAAGAGGAGGAGAAGGAGAAGAGTGGAGAAGAGGCAGGAAGAGATGAAGATCAGGCTGTTCGAAACGACAAAGAAAACAAACCACAGGTGTGTACGGAAAGGAGCTTCTGCACCTACTCTCCACACACATACCTTTGTTCTCTGTTTCACTCTGATGATTTGTCACGCGTGCAGGATGAAGAGGAGGAGGGAGGGGGTGAGGATGAGGAGCAGCCAGAGTCCGCAGAGAGGAAGGAGCATGACAGAGACGGTCAGACTGGAGAGGAGAATGTCCAGAGTGAAACAGCTGTGGAGCTGGGAGGAGAGGCGTCGGAGAGAGACCAAGCTAAAGAGGTACACTTCACTCTCACTCTGAGCTGCATCATGGGACACGGGATAAGGCCTGAAGAGGTTTCGCATTGAGAAGAAGAAGAATACTTTAATGTGGCTACAGAGTTGTGTGATGTAACTTGTGACGATTTCATGCAAATTCTGATCAATAAAAACAGTCTGTGCAATTAAATAGAAAAAGATCAGATGAGACGTTCTTATCATGTCCTGAAGCATGGCAGTCAGTGGTAAACAACAGTGCAGACTGAAAAACTGCGGCCATCCTAATCTGGTAAATGTTTGTTGCTTATGTTTGCATGATATCAGCGTAAGTTGGGATCATGTCATGAGTTCAGCAGCTTCCATCACTGATTGACTCAGCGCAGACTTGGCTCAATTCACACTTAAAGACTGAATCAAGTCTTTGTCCTCTGTCAAATTTTTCCTTTACAGGAGATTGAATCTAAAATATATTTTTTTTCTGTCTTCTATAGGAACATGGGAGTGGGGCAGCTGATGCCAGCCAAGCAGATGGTCACGAGTCAAAGCTAACGGCTAGAATGGCTTCACAGACACAGACTCAGGGCAAGACTCAGGTACGACTCACAGGGATCATGCTCCAATTCTACCTGCCTTTGTTTTTCGATCCATCTCATCACAGATTTTCTTTTATCGATCGCTCCAGAGCTTCAAGAGAAAACCTGGTCACGCGGACAACGAGCGATCGACAGGCGACTACAACGAACGGATAAACAAGCGCCTGCGTACGGTGGAGAGCAGCAAGGACAGAACTGCAGACAGCAGGCAGAGCGACGCCCAGCAGGAGTCTGACCTGTACGAACACATCAAGCAGGGAGAGACGGCCTACGACACTCAGACATACGGTCGGTGATCACACGCGCACACAAATGCCCCCTGAGATCCTCAGATCAGGTTGTTTAGGTGGATGAATGACTGTTGTGTTCACAGATGTGGCGAGCGCAGACCAGCAGAAAGCAGCAGGGCCTCAGCAGGACCAGGATGAAGATCAGAATGATGAAGATGTTGCCATGGAAACCGAGGACCTCCAGGCCGCTGAGGTCCAGGAGCTGAAGCCTGAGCAGCTGGATTCAACCAAGGCCTCCCAGAAAGGTTTCGACATATCTTCTTCTTCTGCTTTAGCAACTCATTGTGTTGCAGTGAACTCTGTCTAGGGTTTTTAATGAAAGCTGAACCCCATCTCACTTCTCTCTCCTTTTATTGACGTGCAGGTGTAGACAGTGGAGAGATGGAGGTGCAGAGGCAGGGAGAGGAGGATGAGGACCAGGAGAGATGGAAGGACCGACAGCGGCTCGCAGAAGAGAAGCGGGCAGAGAGAAGCACAGAATCCACCATTCACACTGTTCCTGAGCTGCTGATGGACAGCATGCAGGTAAACACAGACTGTCGGCTTTGTTCTTCTTCTCCTTTCTACACAAACATTCTCAGGGCTTTTGTTTCGCCGCAGGCCAAAAAACTATGTTTTTTTTAAGGTATCAAAGTCAAACTTGAAATCCGTGTCTCTGTGTTTGTGTTTGCAGAAAGCAGAGAGAGACCCAGAGGAGATGAGGAGGGAGATGGAGCTGCAGCTGGAGGCCTGGCACAAGCTGGCCCCAGGAGCTCAGGAGGAGGTGAGGCTGAGACAGGAGGTTTGATTTAATGTCTCCTCTTCCACTCGTTGTAAATCAACAGAAATACTGGATTACATATAAAAACCAAGAACATCACGTACTGCAGTAAAGTCTGTCATTAAGATCCAATGTAGAATAGAACTCAGTATGATGTATTAGTATGTTGGTCAACAAACTTTTAGTCATCAATGTTGTATCTTGTGTGGGTGTCATTATAAAGTCTTTAAATTAATTTAACAGAATCTCATTCGCATATTTAGTTTTTAAGAAAACTAAAAACAAACATTACAAGCACGTGTGGGATGGGGAGACTTGATCAGAGCGCCAACCTCCTGTTCAGTGGACGACCCGCTCTACCACCTGAACAACAGTCGCCATATGTGGGAAGAGATTATCAGTCGTCACAAATCCCACACATGTGCTGTTCACTATATGAGTTAGAAGTGAACAAGGGGTTTCACACACTGTCCTTATGGGTTATTAGTGTCAAGTCATCGTGGTACCAATCCCAGGTTGTAACGCGTGGCTGACCTGCTCTTGTCTGTGTTTCAGGAGAGTGCAGCTGCTTCCATGTGGCATCAGTACCAGACTCTGACCTCCGCTCTGTCCCAGCAGCTGTGCGAGCAGCTCCGCCTCATCCTGGAGCCCACACAGGCCGCCAAGCTCAAGTCAGTACAAACGCAACACATAATGCAACATGAGTGCTGCTGGGTAAAGATTAGCAGATTGATTGAGAACGTATGAAGATCACTTCACGATTGCTGAATATATTCGATCGGTCTGTACTCAATATCCATAAGGACAAAATGAAAACATAACATTTTGTCATTATGGGATAGAGCAAAAATGATTTTCTCACCAGACCAGAGACTCTTTTTCCTCATGCTTTCAATTCATGATTCAATACAATTCTTTTTGAACAGCCCATACTCCCACATCCTCCGCCCTTAACACTCGACTAGAGTCAGGAACAAGTACCAAAAAAGACTCCAAGTTTTTAGCTAAAAAAACAAACCTTACTAACCTGGTAAGCTTCTGTGTTTAACCCGTGGCGTCGACCTGTCGCTTCACAGAGGAGATTACCGCACAGGGAAGCGCCTGAACATGAGGAAGGTCATCCCCTACATCGCCAGTCAGTTCCGCAAAGACAAGATCTGGCTGAGGAGGACCAAGCCCAGTAAGAGGGAGTACCACATCTGTCTGGCTGTGGATGACTCCTCCAGTATGGTGGACAACCACTCCAAACAGGTGAGAGAGCCCCGTTAGATTAAAAATCAATGATTGATTATAGAAGCTCTGTTCAATGTGGTTTGTGTTGGTATAGGAGGAAAGGTCCGTTCACTCTCTGCACTGAAATATCTGTTATATAGGATCGTAAGGAATATAAGTAATCAGAGTGTGTTTATTATGTGTGCAGCTGGCGTTTGAATCCCTGTCGGTGATCATCAACGCTCTCACTCTACTGGAGGTCGGACAGGTGTCTGTGTGCAGGTAAGGACTGTTTTTCCTTAATTCTTCTTTTTACTTTATTTGCACAGTAATGACAGAAAGTGAGATACTGATGCTAGAGAAGAACAACATAGTGGGAAACGGGGGTGCACTGGAATGCACAGTTTTGTCTGGTGTGTGAAATAAACACGTAACTGTCTGTGTGTTCAGCTTTGGCGAGCAGGTGCAGCTGCTCCACCCCTTCCAGCAGCAGTTCAACGACGAGTCAGGGGCTCGGATCCTCCGACTGTGTCAGTTCCAGCAGAAGAAGACCAGAATAGCCCAGGTGGGTGGGGGGGGGGGGGGGGGGGGTCGACCATCTTCTGTTCTTAACTTTGACCCAGTGTCGCTGCTCTTGTTTGTCTTTAAACATAACGACCGAATCAGAACGATCCATGAGAATCCACCTTTTACACCTTTAACAGCAAATCATGTTTTAATCCTGACATCTGTAAGAATCACTACACCTGTTTTTCAAAAGCTTTAGGATTTGATTTTTGCCTTAATAAGACACGTGCTCTGTGTTCCCACGCAGACAGATCCACTGCATATCATGTAGAAATGTTTCAAACAGAATTTTGAAATTCCCTGGTGAAAATCAAGCTTTCAAACAAGTTAACATGTCCGCCTTTTTATGATAGAATACAAACTCTGAGCAAAATAAGCGATCGCCATGTCAGCGTGAGTATTTCCACCTCAACACTGCAGGAAACAAAAGGACAAAGAGAAAAACTACCAAAACAAAACCTTTCAAAAGTGAAAAGAGAGATAAAGATAGAAAATAAATAAAGATATGAATCGAGCTCTTGCAGCTGTGCAGCAAAATTGTGATTTGGTTTAAAGAAATTATAAAAATCCAGGTTTTTTTCTCGTTGGTGTAGAATGATGGTGCATTCACTAGTGCTGACTCAAACAGGAAACAGTTGTAGCTATGCAAGATACAATTGTTTGTGGGATGAGACATTTGAAGAATAAATTTCTTATTCTCAATCTAAATGAGTTGATGCACATGTTCTTTTTACCATGCACCTTATACTGAAACATGTGACGTGACTGATTACATGTATGTGCCGCTCCTCTCGTCGGACTCACTCTCTCCATCCTTCTCTCTCCTCTTTAGTTTTTGGAGACTTCAACCAAAATGTTTCTCGCAGCTCGGCAGCAGATTCCAGGATCTTTAAACTCAGGTAAAGACTCACGCTACGTGCTGACTGTCCCAGCTCAGTAAACCGATGCTGTGTATTATGGGATGTTTGAGATGTGTGTGTCATTGAAGTAGCAAAGTTTAAGCAGAAATCTGTTTTTAAATCTTACTTTGCTGAGAATGATCACAGCTTTCTACAATATGCAAATGTCTCGTTGCCAAAATATCAGAATCAGTTTGCAACAAAACATTTTGATCAATGCTCAGAAACTACCTGTGTGAGTACATGGAGCCTGTCATGTGACAGAGACACAGGAAGCACCAGAGACGGCTGCTCTGAGGGGAAAACAAGGAGCTGCCACAAAACCTCAGGGGGAGCGGGCGTCTCCCTTTCATGTCACTGCGATCCAGACAGAAATGTGAATTATGAAGAAGCTCAACAAGAAACTGAGCCACAATAAAAAGACATATGATGTTAAAAACATCCTGCAGACAAAAAAACATCGTAAAACAATTCAATGTCACTGCTCAGTCCCACAATGCATTTCCCTGTATGCCACTAAAGTCAATGCTCACTTGTACTTTCGACATTTTGAACATGAACGTGTCTTTTTTAAAGATTCTTTCTTGATTTAAAAAATAGAAATTAGACTGGGAAATGGAAATCGTGGTTCTGCTCCTAGAGGAATTAACAGAACTCAAGCTGACTCAATTCAAAGTCTTCCATTGCATCCACTATTCAAAAGCCCATTTCTTTCAAATATCAGTAGACATCACTGATATGAATAAGAATATATGCTGTTCTACTTCTGGTTTGACTGTACATGTACTTTATCACATCACAGTTTGGAAAAGTTGCCTCATGCAAACAAAACTTCATTATCAGTGCGCGTAGTTTCATTTAACTTAAATACCCCTGACCATTCCCTTCGACTTCCGACCTCCCTCCACAGACACGGCCCAGCTGCTGGTCATCGTTTCTGACGGCAGGGGGCTCTTCCTGGAGGGGAAGGAGCGGGTGACGGCAGCAGTGCGAGCAGCTCGCGGCGCAAATGTGTTTGTCATCTTCGTGGTGCTCGACAACCCCAACTCACGGGTGAGAAACGCAAAAATTCGGCTTCACTTGTATTTTACTTCTCCGTACACAAACTGCAACTAAGCTGCGTTTTTTTTTTCCGTGTCGCGCTGCAGGACTCCATCCTCGACATCAAGGTCCCCATATTCAAAGGACCGGGAGAACTCCCAGAGATCCGCTCCTACATGGACGAGTTCCCCTTCCCCTTCTACGTCATCCTGCGAGACGTCAACGCCCTTCCAGAGACGTTGAGCGACGCTCTCAGGCAGTGGTTTGAACTCGTCACGGCAGCCGACCAATGAGAAGCCCTCTTTCTCACAAAGGGAGAAGTGTGCGGCGTCCGACTGCACCAAAATGCACCACTCTGCTGCTAAGCTTCTCAGTCAGAACTGTAAAACAACCAACCAGAAGACGGATTTACCGCTGTACATGTGCCTTTATTTTCTTATTTTTACTGTAGATTTTAGTAGAGTTTAATAGCAACCTTTGCTGTTTTATCTTTGTCATCAGAAGAATCGTGTTTCTTTTGTAACGTAACGAGGATTGCTTTAACTTGCACGTCTCCGATGAAATGATAGAAGTAAAAACTTGTGAATTCATTGCGTGTGAACCACCTCAGTGAAGAGTCAGTAAATACCTCTGTCCACCTTGTACAATCCCCCCCAAACCGTTTGTGTGGATGTGACAGTCGGTGCTGCAGAGATCATCCGAACCATACATGTGAAGCGTGAACACGGCAGCTGTACAGAGCTGTGCTTTGTGAAAACGGACGTCACGGCCTGCAGTAGCATGTTGTCGCGGCCGTGACCGACGCTCGGAGGAACTCAAAAATGTGCCTTGGGGAGGAGAACGGTGTTGCATCTCTCTCCACAGCTGGATCAGCTGCTGGTTGACGGGTCAGAGGCACGGCCACAGCTCTGTCACAGGTTTTTATAGAAACTCAAATCTCATACACTTTAAAGCACAACCGCGGTTCCGCAGATGCCAGTTTTAAACGAATGCCCCAGTATGAACCAGTTTTTGTGGTTTGAAGACGACATATCTGCCGCGTTGGTCTCAACAACTGCTGAACGAACAGCTCATCACCGTGTCTGTTAGGAGTAGATGGAATGTTTATCATCACCTCTGTGTTTCGTAGCATAAACGTACGTGTCAGCAGACTCTGGCCATATTTAAGAGCATCCATCTGTTAAATCATGACACGAATGATCCTGACAATAAACAGTTTAAAAAGCAGCTCTGTCTCTGCTCGTGCTCATTGTATTATTGTTCCTCATACAACAACAGTAGACATTCTGACGTAGGAGCAGCAGGTTTCTCATGTAGATACAAAATGTTCTGTTGATAAATTACAAACTCTCTGTCTCATAAAGAAAAGATATGACAGATCTGAATGTGCACGGTTACAGTCAGTAACATTATCATTACCCTGGAGACTCCTGAAGAACACATTTTATCTGACAAGCAAGCCTGGGTACGGAAGCCCTAAAGTACGGAAGCCCTAAAGGGTCATACATACATACATTTTATTCCACCCGTTTTCTCGTGATAACGAGATAATTTTCCTCCGTTTTCTGGAAGGATTATCTCGTTATCACGAGAAAACGATCTTTGTTATATCGAGATAACGAGATAATAAAAAAAAAAATCGAGGGCGGTGATCGGTATTCTCCTGCTCCTCGGACATTGCTACACTAAATGATGTTTCCTGCAATGATTTAATACGTTTTGTTTTCCTCGAGATCTCGAATTAATTATCTCGTTATCACGGGAAAACGGGTGGAATAAAATGTATGTATGTATGACCCTTTAGGGCTTCCGTATTTAGGGCTTCCGTAGTATAGCACCAAAAGACACAATATACATTAAGGCACGTTACATAGAAGGTCAAGACCTTACAAATAACAGTGAAATCCAACAGTTCCCACCATGAGCAGCACAACTCATTCAACCACTCAACCCTCATTAATTGGAAGAAACCTCCAGCAGAACCAGACTCAGTTTGGGGTGAGCCGAGAAAAATGGGGAGGAGAGGTGGGTGGAAAAGAGGGGAGAGAAGAGAGAGATAGGGAGGAGGAGAGAGACCAGGAACAATGCATCATCAGGGTTCATCTCTGACAGACTAGGTGTTATAATGAAAACAATAAGAGTGACAATTATGGATGTAAACATGTTATTAATGATAGCAACAACAATTCATATAATATAATAATAGTGGTCTGCATCCTGCAGCTCTGGAGTCACAGATAGAGAGAGACACAGGGAGAAACTACAAGTCAATAAGTCAATCAGTCAATATTCAATCCAAACCTGATGCATCTGAATATTCTGTGGTCACTTCTCTTGTCATTGCTCAGCCTGTTGCAGAGTTCTGCTGCTGCTCTCCTCCGCTCCACTAGAGGGCGCTGAACACCGAGTTAAGCAGTAGGTTACCGTCATCACAACATCCGCCCGTGTCCACACGCTCAAAGATGGCGGGTCCCAGGTTGCCTTTAGCTGCCCTCTCTCTGAAACAGGTGAGTTTAACATTATTTCCCGCATGTTAGGTTAGAAAACTGATCCTGACACAGCTCCCGGTGACATGTCAGCGACCACACTCTTCTTTTTGTCCGCGTGAGCTCTGAACATTTCACCCTCGCGTGACCTGATGATTGATCCATGTGGTCAGAGTAACAACTGAGACATCGCCATGCAGCTCTGATCTGCAGCCGCCCTTTAAACCCAACTGTCTCACCTTCGTGTTTAATGCGTGCGCTCTGATCTGACGTTCTCATGTCCTGGTTCTCATCACAAGACAAGTGATTTCACTGTCAGATGCGATGTTTGTCCAGGACATGAGGAGAAGTCTCTTCTAAACCACCAGTGCTAGCGTCACTTTAAAGCTCCAGTGTGTAAGATTTAGGTGAAAGGATCTATTGGCAGAAATTTAATGTAGAATAATCCTCATGATGTTTTCACTAGTTCGTTTCATCTAAATTGTATGAACTGTAGTTTTCTTTACACCAGAAAAGGCCCTTTATATTTAAATACTTTATATTTAAATACTTTATATTTACATGGAGGGGGTCCTCTCTACGGAGGCCGCCATGTTTTTTACATTAGTCAAGACTAGGGTTGCAAAGGAGCGGAAAATTTCCGGTAAATTTCTGCAAACTTTCCATGGGAAGTTAAGGTGGGGAATTTTCGAAATATTCCAAATTGGAAACTTTCCATGAGAATTATGGGAATTTATGTGAATTATTGGGAATTTATGTGAATTAATTGTAAATTGGGGGTAATTTAAACAAACTGGATCATATCCAAATATAAATGTAAGTATTTTCGTTTTGTCATAAGCAGACATCCATGCAAAGTAATACAATTAAAAAAACATTTCAACAGATTTATTTGAGTAGAACTTTAGTTTTATTTCTTGTATGAACATTTCTTTAATGAACAACAAAAACATGTACGAATGTTGAGTAGCCTCTTAAATGGTCAATGAAATGAAAAGTAGCTTACATTTAGCACCTATTTTTATTTAATAGTTCCAAGTTAAACATCAATACTATTATAGATCAAATATATTTACCCCATAATATTATCAAAACCTACTTGACTTCAGATAGTCCTCGGGCTCAAATGTGTGGCTTCAATAGTGTTGAAATCAGATGTGCATGTGATGGAGGAGTGCACAGTGCATGTAGGGGGTGTGGCCTCAATAGCCCTGCAGTAAGCATTGTGCTATGTGCATGTGATTGAGGAGTGTATGTGAAGTAAATATGGTTGTTTTAGCCAAGATTATGCTGCAATATATTTCCCCAACTATATTTAAGTTCCCTGTTGAGGACCAACCTCCAATATTGAAAATTTCAGATTTATTCCCGTTAATTCCCATAGAAAGTTTAACAACTTTGAAAATTCCAGGAATTTTGCAACCCTAGTCCAGACTGAACAAACTAAACACCTTTTGAGTTTTATGACAATTAAAGGCAACCACAGGTTCACTAAATTCTACTCACTGTACCTTTAAAGCACATTGTTCATACAGTCAGTGTGGAGAGTGACGTGGTGATTGTTTGTCAGTTCCTCCAGAGGCAGAAGGTGTTGGGGATCTACAGAAACATGCTGAGGACCATACAGCAGGTTCCAGCTGAGGCGGACAGGAAGTACCTGAGAGACTGGGCGAGAGAGGAGTTCAAGAGGAACAAGAACGCCACGGAACAGGTAGAGAGACCAGTCACCTACTGCACAACTGTCCTGATGTGTTACTGTGGAGAGTTCACTGAGAGCAACAGAGGGCTCAGTTTAACTTGACTGTTAGATGTGTTGAAGCCAGAAAGTTATTTCAGTTTCAGTCATAAAAAATAAAGTAGGTTAACTTAAAGGTCATGTGGGTAAGATTTAGGTGAAAGGGAACTATCGGCAGACATTTCACAGATTTTACAGGTTTCCCTATAACATCCTGTT